TAGTTCGACCCATCGCCACTGCAAACAGGCCATCAAATCTTTGGTCCTTTTGCCTTTTTTATCGTTATATTCAATCAATATTCTTTGAAATAAAAGGGATGAGAGCTTTTTCATTTTGGCGGGGAACGGGGGCCGTAGGTTCAATAGTCCGAAGGTTCAATAGTCCGAAGGTTCATTGGTCCGAATATTCACTATAGAACCTTCAGACCAATGAACCCTTGATTAAAAAATCGAATGTTACCACTTTTCGGACCAATGAACCTTCGGACCAATGAACCTTCGGACTATCGAGACGCCCCCGGGAAACATGCCATAAAATGTCCCCATACTTTCAAATGGTAGATGGATCCTTTCCGACCTTCAAAATAACTCAATTTATTTAATAATCTCTTAACAGATCATTACATGTACTGAGGTCAGCTATCTTTGACCCCATTTCCAGAGATTAGATCGATCTACTTTAGATCGACCTNTCGAGACGCCCCCGGGAAACGTGCCATAAAATGTCCCCATACTTTCAAATGGTAGATGGATCCTTTCCGACCTTCAAAATAACTCAATTTATTTAATAATCTCTTAACAGATCATTACATGTACTGAGGTCAGCTATCTTTGACCCCATTTCCAGAGATTAGATCGATCTACTTTAGATCGACCTAACTCCCTGGGGGTTCACGCTAAATAGCTGCCAGCCGGGCGGACACGAAAGTTAATTACCCCCTTACAGCTTGTAGTAGGCGGGACGGACATTAAGCCAGATTATCTGACAGTAATCTAGTGAGACTCCCCGCGGGGATAGATCGATCTAAAAGCTCTGGGCATACAGCCTTTGAAGGTCCGATGACAAGCACAAATCTCAGAACATTTGTGATAATCGTCGTTTCGGTTGTAAAATGGAATTTATTATATATCTATGTGTGCATTTTCTATGTATTTATTCTGGAAATTTGAAAACGAGTTGTTATCTATTTAATGTATGGGGTGCAATATATATTTTTTTATGTATTTTCCCCGTGGCGCTATAATAGGCTAGTCTTTGTGCATTGAAGTTGAATATACAAGTGTCAAAACGCTCATTGTCAATTTCTATAGTTACTGTTATTACCATTACCTGATGGCATTTCGGCACAAGCAGATCTTACAATGATTTCAAAAAAAAAAAAAAATTAAAAAAATGAGAGAGAGAGAGAGATAAAATAGTTTGGGGAA